ATTCTTTATCCAGTCTCCAGTTGATGGGCAGTTGGGCTGTTTCCAAATTTTAGCTATTACAAACTGTGCTGCTATATACATGAGTGAGCATTTATCACTTTGGTTTGATTCTTTTAATTCTTTTGGGAAGATACCCAGCAGGAGAATAGCTGGATCAAATGGGAATTCTAATCCTAGTGGTTTGAGGTATCTCCATATTGATTTCCACAGTGGTTGCACCAGTCTGCACACCCACCAACAATGAACCCACACCCCACTAGCTTTTGTTATTGGTTGATTTCTTGATAGCAGCCATTCTTTCTGGGGTGAGGTAGAATCTCAGTGTTGTTTTCATCTTCATCTGTTAAATGACCAGTGATATTGAATATTTTTTCATATATTTATTTGCTGCTTTTTCTTCTTTGTCTGAGAAATGTCTGTTCATTTCAGATTTCCATTTTTGAATTGGGATTTTATAACTGGGTGAACTGTTTTTTTATTTCTTTATATACTCTAGATAGTAGATCTTTGTCTGAGGAACAGCTGGTAAAAAATTTTCCCATGTTGTAGGTTGTCTCTTAGCTCTGTTGGTGGTTTCTCTTGCACTGCAGAAGCTTTTTAAAAAGTTGAGGTCCCAGTTATTGATTCTTTGTGCTAGTTCCCGTGCTACTGAGGATCTGTTCATAAAGTCCTTTCCTATGGCAATGTCAGAAGACACATTTTTAGCAAGTATCTGTCTAATGCGTTCCCGGATAAAAAGTTTTTATTGATTTTTTTCTTTTGTAGTGTTTTTTATGTTTTTAATTTTATGTAATGATTACATTCTGTGTGGTAATTGATGCATGAACATAACACATCTTAACTCTTTTTTATTACACCTGCCTGGTCTCTCAATCCCATTCCTATCTTCTTACTTCCTATTATCTGTCATTAATTCTCTTTATTATATTTTGGTTTTCTCATATCTAAAAAATTATTAATATATTTTTCAGTATATAGTATTGCCACTTTAGAAAGTAGGTGTAAATACTTCTCATATATTCATTCTTTTTATTCCCCTCACCCTCCATTCCTTCTGGCATATTTGGTCGCAGACAAAAACACCCTCACGTGCACTTGTGTGCACCTCTGTGTATATAAAATGGATGGAAATAACATGAATAATCTACTTCAGTCATAAGGAAATGCAACATAAAACTAATAACAGAAAATAATATAAAACCATGGAGAAAATGCAGTAAGCACAATGTTTGTCTGGAAAGAGATCAACAAAACTGTCTTGTCTTTACCTTTGCTTTGACTAAGGAGGTGAAATTTTAAAAATCTAGATTAAAAATGGAACATTTCTTCTGTTGCTACACTGAAAACCTCCTGCTAAACAGTATAAAATGGAAAAATGAATAAACACACTGGACTCAAACAGACTTGTGAAGAAATCAAAACTTCACAATGATTTAGATGTCCTTTATATGTTCTTTACAACTAGCACTACAAAGGAATACTAAGTAATTTATGTTACTGCTCTAATTGTCCCCGGCTTGTCTAGAGGGCTGCATGGATTTGGTTCTCCAGAGCAGCAGAGATAAATCAGGCACCTAGTGACACCACACAGGAAGAGACATTTCCTCCGGAACTGGCTCACAGGACCATGGAGGCTGGAAAGTCCCAGCTCTTCCGTGTGGGCTTCAGGTGGAGACCAGGGAGCTGCAGGTGCAGGCACAGTTGCAGGCTGTCCGCTGGGGAATCCGTGCGGATGGTGACAGTGGTGGTTTGGGCTGTGCCGGCTCTCCTGGCTAATGAACCTCACACACACGATGGAGGGGAACCTGCTCTTCTCAGAGTTCATTCACTCAAGTGTTGGTCAATTCCTAAAAACTCCACAAGGAGACACATGATCCTCACAGAGGACCAACAGGCTAGCTGACAAACAAGTTTAACACAGCTCATCCTCCAGCGTTTGAGCACCACCCTATTATCCACATAATGGTGCAGGCTCAGCCTGGGCACAGTCATTTCACCAACGTCACATGGTCCCTCAACAGAATAGAGTATTTTTTTAAATCATAGAAATAAAAAAGCACATGACTTTGAATGGAAAAAAAACCTACATTTTTTTCAAAGTTTTACAGCACAGTCTATGCCATGCACGTAGTAATAAGAAATGGAGCCAAGATGTCACAGCACATGCACTGGGCACGAGGTGTGAAGGGAACACACACTGTCACCGTCATGGAGGACACACTGATAGGACAGGGATACGCAGTAAACAATCTGAAGCCTCAAATTTAAAATTGAAAGGGAAAGGCCAGCCGAAACCATGGGCTACAACACGAATATATCTGCACATCTGGGCTCTGGTGTGGAGAATTCTGGGACATATGTAGAAAGAGACATTGATGCGCCTTTGCTGTCCAGAAACCTGGGAAGTTAGGTTTGCTCGATCTGACAGATCAGGAGGAATTCACAGAACCTCTGCCAATGGACTCTGAGTATTTCATACTCTATTTTAAAAACATAGCTCACTTACTGTTTTATTTCTGACTTGCTCTCTATGTGCTCTAAACTGTTGCTTCTCGGGTCCTATTCTGTCTTTCACATAAAGATTTCTCCTGATGAGAATTTTGAACATTTTCCCTGGATAGAGTATCTAATGTGTGTGTTGGTTGAGACAGCCTGTAGTCCAGACGGGCTTTGGACTCACTATGTAGCCTGGGCTGTCCTCCAGCTCCCAGTGATCCTTTTGCCTCAGGATCCTGAGTGCTGAGTTTACCAGGTGTACAATACCATGCCCGGCTGGATCTCACATTCTTAAAAATACAATGTATGGAGAAATTTGTTTAAAATTTTGGATTCCTACATAAACATTTTCATCAGAAATAGATGAAAATTTCACATGCATTAACAGCAATACATGCCTTATTCTACCTTGGTTTTTCAGACAAGGACTGGGATGTTGGAACACAGAATGTGGTCACACTTGTGCTGTTTTCTGGGGCCATCTGACGGTCAGGGACAGGAGGAGCTGCAGTGGGTGTACAGAGCAGGGGCCTCCTTACCCAGCACATTCAACATCCCTGACAGGCCTGTGCAGATGGGGCCAGGTACAAAGTTTCATATGCCCTTGATCTGTGAGGATTTCCCCACATCTGCTTTGTACCTCCCTCTTAATTGGTGTAAACTGAGTCAGGACATTGGAGGTGATTTTCTAATCACTGGAATCAGCCTGGCATATTTGGAAACTTGATTGATTATGAGTCCATTAGTCTTCAGGGCCAGGTTCTGAGAGGGAAGGGCTGAATGTCTCTAGTCCGTGAGGAGTCCCAGCATTTTCAGACAGCAGTAGAGAGCCCTGATCTTAAAAAGCCAAGATGGGCTCAGATGGAGAAACAGGAATCTAAGAAACTTCCACAAATCAGGATACTGTGAGGACCCAGGGAACAAGGTCTAAAGGTTGTCTATGAAGACCACACATAATGATGAAACAATAATTTTAGAAAAGGCAGTCATGGAGAAGTGCACAAGTGTTTCACCAACAAGAAATAAGATTAGTCATATAATCAAATATTTTTCTTTATCTCCAAAAAGAGCCCCACCAGTGCACACTTCTCTGCCCACAACAAACCCTCCCCTGGAAAAGGCAGGCATTAGTAGATGCAGTCAGCATATTGGAACCTATCAAGGACATAGATATATTAACATTAAAAATTCCCACAAAAACCGTGCTCAAAATCAACAAAATCCTTGCTCCAACTCAATTTCTCTGTGTGTAGAAGCATGAATACCACAGACGATACAGAAAAGTGTCTTTGGGGTGTTCCTCTCCCCAGTGCAATTGATCATCGTAAGAAAAACACTCTCCTGGGAAGGACCAGCGCACCCTGCCCTCTGTCCCCCTCTTATACCCTCACTGGCTTCCCCATGCAAAGCAGCCCCAGGCTCAGGATGAAAAGCCAGACCTGGCTGAGCAGCCCTCATCTCCTCTCACAGGAGCCTTCATACAGCATGGAGTCCTTGGTGCTGCTCCTCTGCCTGGTGGCGGCTCCCTGCTGTGAGTGTCTCTGAGATTCAGGAGAGCGAGGGGGGCACAGGGTGTGTGGTGCGTTTGACTGATGGTGATGCTTCTTGTCCCCAGGTGTCCTGTCCCAGGTGCAGCTGCAGGAGTCAGGACCTGGCCTGGTGAAGCCTTCAGAGACCCTGTCCCTCACCTGCACAGTCTCTGGATTCTCTTTAACTAGTTATGGTGTAAGCTGGGTCCGTCAGCCTCCAGGGAAGGGACTGGAGTGGATCGGTGTGATATGGGGTAATGGAAATACAGAGTATAACTCAGCCCTTCAATCTCGAGTGAGCATCGGCAGGGACACTTCCAAGAGCCAAGTCTCACTGTCATTGAGAAGCCTGAGATCTGAGGACACAGCCGTGTATTACTGTGCAAGAGACACAGTGATGGGAAATCAGTGTGAGCCCAGACGCAAACCTCCCTGCAGGGGCTCCCAGGAGACAGGGGGCAGGCAGGACACACTGAGCTCTTGTTGGGCCCAGGACCAGGTGCAGGATCCTGGGTCTGCGTTGCTGTTAAGAGTCTGTGGTTTTCTCTTCCTGTCCCCAACTTTGCTAAAGACTCTCTAGTGGTGGCTTCTACAAACTTTTCAAAACTTTAATTTCTTTTTAAGAGTTTGTAGCACAGCCAGTTTACAATCAACTTCGGAAATGGGTGCATGTATATAATACAGTCTGATCCTTTTTAAAATCTCCTCTTCACCCTAACTTTGACTCTCTTCCACCTATGCTAAATCTCATTTCTCCATTTTCATTCATGTTGATATTTTTATCTTTTCTCATGATTGTGACATATAAATTTTACATTCATTTAACTTATTAGGTTCAGGGACATGGCATATCTATATCCTACTTATTTTCCCTTCCTGTCTTCTTTTCTGAGCTACATTCTCTTTGATTTCTTCCCATTTGCAAGAGATCTATTGCCTTGTCTCCTTCTAGCCATCCTTTATTGTGCTTTTTGTTTATACTTTGCCTTACTTAAATAAGAAATAGTATATGGTACTTAAATTTGTGTGTCTGATTTATTTTACACAATATTTTATTTTCCATGTGCATCCATTTTCTTACAAAGGTCTCAAATCCGTCCTTCTTCATAGCTGAGTGACATTCCACTAACTCTAGATACCACATGCATCCTCTGTTGATGGGCATACAAGCTGCTTCCGGAATTTAGCTCTTACGCATAGTGCTGCTGTAAACACTGGTGTGCACATTTTGCTGTAGCACGATGTGCTTAGCTCTTTAGGGAAGATACCTGGAAGAGAGATAGCTGGGTCTTATGGAATTTCTAAGGTTAGTTGTTTGCAGAATGTCCACACTGATCACACAGTGGTTGCACTAGTGCACATTCCCAATGACAATGTATGAATGTCCTATTTTGACTGCACCCATCGCAGATTTATTATTAGTAGGTTTCTTAATGATTGAAGTTCTTTTTAGTGAAAGGTAGATTCTTAGCATTTTTTTGTTTTGGATATCTCTAAAGGCCAGGAATGTTCAATATTTTTTCATATGTGTGATTGACACTTGTATTTCTTCCTAGGAGAAATGCCTGCACATTATACATGCCAATTTCTTGACTGGGTCTCTTATTTTAGGTGATCTAATACTTGAGTTTTTCTTACAGTCTAGATGTCATCCCTTTTTTTTCAGGAATAGCTTGAAAAAAAAATACCCACTACAGAGGTTGCCTCTTCCTTCTGCCTAATTGACTACTCAATATGCAGGAGCTTTTGATTTGATGTGATCTCAGTTGGCTGATTACGGGTGCTGTTTGTTACACAGTTATTGCTCTGTTTAGGAAATCACTTTTAAACCCATGACTTGAAGTGCGTTTCCTCTTTTACTGTCCAATAGGTTCAGAGTTTGTCATTGTTCGGATAATGACAAACGTTGTCATGCATGTGTGCTCTGACCCTGGCTCTGCGTGTTACAGATTCCATGGTGCCAATTCACGTCACTTATAAAAGCACTTTTAACTTCAACATCCAAAAATAGGATTATTTTATCAGTTCCTCTTAAATAATCTCATTGCAGAAAAAAATGAGCCATGTAGTACAAACATCCCCAGTTTGGGAAACAAAACTGTGCTACTCCTTACACTCATTAAACTGCACTGCCTTTCACATTTTTGCATTTTTTCTTTTTAATTAAGATATATTTGCAATAAATAAAAATTAAATTCAACTAAGGGAATTATTGCAGTTTTTTGGCATTTTGATCATTTTTCCTGTCCCTGCTTCCCAGCCCCAACCCACCTCCTTGCCCAAGGCTATCTCTGCAGACTCTGCTTCTCTGTGTCTTACCAAGTTTCCATAACTTGCTTTTTGCATTACTTATATTTTTCCCTCTCATATGGAGAACCATGCAATATTTACACTTCTGTGTCTGATTTATTTAACGTAGCATTATGGTTTCATAATCCAACCATGTTCCTACACAGAATTCAAATTTATCCTTTTTTATTCCTGAGTATTAATCCATTGTGTTTAAATTCCCCCTTTTTATTTATTCTTCTGTTGATGGGCACATAGAACATTTAATATTTTAGCTATACTGGCTTGTGCTACTACACATATGAATATACATGTCAGTATAGTACAATGGCCTTAGATATTTTGGAAATATATCCAGTGGAGGTAAAGCAGAAAAAAAAAGAATTTATATTTTTATTTGCCATTATTTTCTATTTTTGTTGACCTACTAATGAAAAGTTTAGAGTTATAAATGCCATGAAAACTGTTAATTATATGGAGTCCTGTGATTCACTAACCATATGCTTTTGTATTGGCAGTTAAAAGCATTTCTCAAGGTTTAACTCAAAGAACTTTTTTTTCAATGTAGAAATATTTTATTGCTTTTAGTAATTAAAAAGGTAAATGTAGGTGTTCTTACAAAGCTTTAAACTGTACAGAATATACAACATAGAAAATTAAAGACTCCATAACCCCCCTCTTATATAACCGCAGAATTACAAGAAGATTTACTCATAAATACAAAATGTAATCAATACATGAAATGAAAAGTACTATACCTATATGATCTTTTACAAAATCCCTATGAAACATTAATACGGATTTAATAAAAATTTTAACATAGCCATATTGGGGATATGGAGGAAGGCAAAAGGGGCAGTATCATGGGTTTTCAAAATCCTCCTCTATCCTTTTGTGAATTGACAAAAATATATGCAGTTTATATAGGATATATACGTGTGTGTGTGTGTGTGTGTGTACACATTTAAAACATTTCCAAGTAGTTGTGTCTGAAAACAGAATTTGTTATTCCAGGAAAAGCAGATAGGTACCTGCTGTGCTTGGTTATAAACCTGTTAGATCTACTATGGATTTTTGGTGGTGTAGGCTTTTTCTCTGCAGTTCAGGCTGGCCTTGAACTTACCGTGTAGTCCAGGCTGGCGTGGAATTCATAGCATTCTCCTACCTCGGCCTCCCAAGTGCTGGGATGACAGGCGTGTGCTACTATACTCAGGTATTTTAGGGATCTTTACAACTTCTATACATCCAGACTGGGATAAAGCTAAAAGATAATGAGATGCCCATATTTAAAGACATCCTTTTGAAAAGTTTATAGACAGTACTATTAATAAACCATTTCTCACTTTATGAAGTGTTTTCAATTTATTTCAAAAGTGCTCATAAATGAAACATGACTAAAGCATTTATAGTGAATGTGTCAAATCATTTTAATTCGTACCTTTTTATAGGATAACAATAGCATTACTATGGTAGTATTTGTTTTGTTTTTATTAAAATTAGTTATTTTCAAGATTTATTATTAGTGACAAATACTGAGTTTTACAATACTTGGGCCAGCCAGGTATGGCGGAAGAACTTTGTTGTGGTCCTCTTCTGTTAATGCTGTGAACTTTGGGTCTGTTAGGCAGTGAGACAAACAGGACAGGATGGTTCATGTAGCTCGCAGGCTGTCAGAGCAGACCCCAGCTGTCTAGTGAACATCCCTTTCAGGACACACTTCAGGCCAGAGCGCCTAGATCCACCTCCTGTGTACAGCGTGTCTGTCCCCGGGGATTATTGCCCTGAGGAAGACTGAACTGAATTCCATGTCTCTGACTCTGTTCTAAGATAAAAATGAAACAGAAATTTTGAAACCTCTAGGAGATAACATAGGGTAAATTTCTAATTAATTGTATTGGTACATTTCATGCATGCAACATACTGACATTCATCACTGGAGATTTGTACCTTGACATACTCAAACTTGGTTCTTGTTTTTTCCCCATTTGGCTGCCCGCCTTTAAACCCCATCCCTCCCTCCCTATCTATAAAGACTTCTTTGCCATTATTTTTCACTTTCTCATATTAATTCCATTCCTTTCTTTCCTTTCCCCTACTCCTCCCATTTTCCCTTCCTCTTTGTCCCTTTTCTTACTATTTCACATTATCTATATACCTTTTAGTCCTTATTTACACTTTCAGTTTCTCACTCTAGAGAAACTGCTTGGTATTTATACATGTGTGTCTTATCAATTTCACTTAAGAATATCACCTCATACAAGATCCCAACAATAAATGTAACTGTACTGTATCCCTAAAATGTACCAAGAAACTCAATTAAAGCTGAAAAAAAAGAATATCACCTCAATGTCCATCCATTTGGCTATGAATATGTCTACTTTCTCATTTTTATGGCTGAGTAGTAATCCATGTTATTTTTAAAAACACATTTTCTTTATCCAGTCTTCCATTGAGGGGCACCTGGGCTGCTTCCAAGTTTTAGCTATCATGAATTGTGCTGCTGTGAAAAGGGGTGCACATATATCACTGTGGTATGATTCTTTTAATTCTCTGGGGAAGGTACTCAGCAGGGGGATAGCTGGGTCAAATCGGACCTCCAATCCTAGTTCTTAGAGGTTTCTCCATACAGATTGCCACAGTGGTTGCACCAGTCTACACTCCCACCAGCAGTGGAGCATCGTTCCTCTTCCACTACAGCCCCGCCAGCATTTGGTATTGGTTGATTTCGTGATAGCAGCCATTCTGAGGTGGAATCTCAGCATTGCTTGCATCTGCATTTCTTGAATAGCCAGTGATGTTGAACATTTTTATGTGTTTATTTGTTATTTCTATCTTTGGCTGAGAAATGTCTGTTCATTTCAGAAGCCCACTTTTCGATTGGGTCTTTAAATTTGGGAGGTCTGATTTTTCTTAAGTTCTTTATTTATTCCAGATAGTGGCCCTTTGTCTGAGTAACAGCTGGTGAAAGTTTTTTCCCACAGTGTGAGCTGTCATTTCACATTGCTGGGTGTTTCTCTTGCTGTGCAGAAGCTTTTTAATAAGAAGAGATCCCACTTTTGATTGCTTGTGCTAGGTCATGGGCAACTGAGGTTTGGTTCATAAAATCTTTTCCTACACCAATGTTTTCAAGAGTTCTACCTAACCTCTCTTCCAACCAGTTTAGTGTTTCTGTTTTAATATTTAGATCTTTAATCAATTTTGATTTTAGTTTAGTGCACGGTGAGAAGTTTAGGACTTCTTTTAATCTTTGCAGGTTGAAACCCAGCTCTTCCAGCACCATTTATTAAAAAG